TGATTATTGCAATACTGACTAAGATTCACAACCAGCTCAAATAAACAGTTAAAATGACTTGCTGGGTGGTTGTAAGTCTAACTTATTTTACATTTCATCACTGGAAGGCCTACAACACGCCCTCATTTCTAGCATCGTGAATGGTGAAATAAATCTTTTTCCACTCAAATCAGAGACGTGACTCATAACTTGAATATCATTATGCTTGGAATAGCAGTATGCTGTTCATTAAATCTCAACGTATCATTAAATAATAAAAGGCGACTGTGGGCTATATTGCCCTATATAAAATTAGTAAACAATGTTTTCAAGTATTTTTAAATCTTAACAGTCACTCATGTTTCTTTATCTTTAACTTTAAGAGTCGTTTTTCTGCCTCCTCGGTTTTTGTCATCATTAAGAAACTTATTGCATAGCCTGTAGCCTACCCAGTAAAAACTCAACAGCTAGGCTACTTGTCACTTTGGTTGAAATGTGCTTATGGGGCACTTACACACTTACAGTGACCACGAAGTAGGTTAACTAATCAGCGGTGGAAGACGTATTCCTTTTCTTAAATAAAAGTGCTAATAGCCTACCACACTGTAAAATAGGCTACTGATGTTTCTCGATTAGGTCTACTACTGGTACATTGATGAATGTAGCATTTTTACGACTGTAGTTGTTTAATGATGAGCTCATTTAAACTACTTTATAGTATGATTTAAATATTTTATTTGTCTTACGTAACGGGTATCACTTTACAATATTGTAAACATAATTGTGAGTTAGTAGGAAACGAGTGAGGAACGAATCAGTAGCCTAATGATCTGATAATTGATGATTCGTAAATAAGTTGGCCTAGTGAATAACTCCGAATAGAGGACTAGGCTATAGGTTATAGTAGGCTATATAATAATTTACCAGAGAACTGACTGGGAGCCAGTATATTCATGCATCATCATCGGGTACTGATAAATATCGGTTAATTCTGACCACTTCCGTCATGATTTGCATGATTTGAACTAATTAGGCCTACTTCATAATTTCTTACTCTTTGTTTGTGATAGGCTACATCAGCAGTCCTTTGTTACTTAAGAGTTTTTAAATTCACCAGAAAATCTCTGTAGCAACAAGTCCTTGCTTACTTCTCAGGATATTGTAGCAGGACACTTAAGGAGGCGCAAAAATGCAAATATGAACATTATTTATCTTTCAATCATAATAAGTAGCCTAATGTGTAAATAATTAGACATTAGTGTGTAGCTAGATATTACCATTCAGCAGCAGGAATTCGAGGCGGATCGAGTCGAGCTGGTACCGGGCAATGGAAAAGGGGCTTAAAGTAACTATTTAGTCCTTTTATTTTTATTTTTTACCACGTTGTTTAATCTTAATGCTGTGATCATTTTTAAACATGACCTTGGTGATGATGTCTTTCGGCATATGTTGATGCAAACTTAATTTGATTAAAAGGATTAGCCAATGCAAAGTCATGGTTAAGTTGTTTTTGATTTGTTTATAATTTAAAGCCTACATTTATCGACATTTTCCATCCAGTGGATGAATAACAGACGCTGAGGATGTTCTAAAGTACAATAACGTTGTCCCAAAATGTGTAGTCTGTACTTAAAAGGCGTACAGGAGTTTCATATTCTCCCCCAGTCCCAAAATGGGCACAACCAGGACACAGAAAGTCATTTAATGTTCCTTCCAATACAGAAACCCGTTTGCTTGTTGTAACCTAAGCCTCCACAGTGACCATAGAGAGCAGTTGATGTGATCCTAAATTCTGTTAATTGTAAGTGAAATTAAACCCACTTCCACTGACTCCAAACACTGTTGAGATTTCAACACATGGAAGATTCAAGGCAATAGTTCTTAGCCCAAAGAACTTGAACGAGGAAAGCAGCAAGTTTATTACCAAGGACAATAGACGGCAGATAGCTTCCTTCAAAGGGCCTGGAAAAGAACCAGACTGAAGCTCCTCGGTTTGGCTCCTGACACCCTAAACATGAAGGACGAAGAGCAGTAAACGACACTAAAACTGAACACTAAAACGTCTCCTCATTTCGTAATTGTGGGAACCCATGTAGGCTACTTTTGTTGGCTCTAGCAGCAAAACGTTAATGTCACAAATACAAACGTCTGTATTTTGATCTTTTTAAAGAGACATTGTCTTTAGAGAGCGCACTTTGTCTGTAGGAGCTCTGCACAGTTTGTGATTCAACACAAGTTTCTAAAAAAAATTGTAAACAGATTAAAGTGACGCACTCTGGTCATTTGCCAGCCAAGACTCGTTGATAACAGTGAGTTTTCATCACTAAGAAATCATTGTTTTAATTTTAAATCTAATGCATACTGCTGACTTTTTTTTCTTTCTTTTGCTTTATATGGGCTACTTTATAATGGCCACATGCGATTTAGACATGTTTTTATTATAGGCCCTAATATAAAAAACTAATTAGGCCTATATACAGTTCTGTATACCCTAAAGATGTAAAAGCATTTCTAAACCCAGCGCAAAGAAAATCAGCTTTCATTTGCTTTCATGCAATTAGTTATATAATATTGCTGTCTTTGTTTTTATATTGTATATGTACTAAGATTTAAATCTTTTATGTTCAAATATTTCAGATTTAAACACTTGTTTTTTCGGTATTCTTTAATTTTCTACATCATAAATTCCTTTTTCTTTATCTCTAAAATAAAGTGTCGCTATTACACATGCTATGCCAGCTGTTTTGTTTGTTTCCTTCATTTAAACATCTGAACAGTCATTTGCAACAAATATACCCAGAAAGACATACCCTTGATGGCTTTTGTGTAACATAAGCAGTAAATCCAGATTGCCCCAGTGATGATGGAAGCCGCTGATGTGTTATTGACGAATTAAGCAACTGACAAACAATGAGAAGAGCCAAGACAGCATGAAGGCCATATTTGAACTTGCAGGGCCACCTATTGGATTACAGCCGCAACTACTCAAATTACAAGATGACCTGTTAAAGTGATTTTGATAAACTTGAATGGTTTAACTTTAAACCCTAAACGTATCTATTTTAAATCTGTGTTATCTTTAGGCTAATGGGTTTTATTCAATTAAATAAAATATGCCTGTTTGACTGTGGACAAAATGTAGTAATAAGGAATCCCATCGGCAGCAGATCTGTGTGACAACAAAATTACTTTGTCAAATACCCCCCCATTATCAGATCAGTTGTTCTGAAATCAGATCAACTGCTCCTTCAATATCAATGTACTCCCCAACACACACACACACACACACACACACACACACACACACACACACACACACACACACACACACACTTTAGGCCTACTTCTTTCGGCGGCCATTGTATTGCACCATTGTATAATGGGACCCCATATAACCATATAACGAGTGTATGGATGTATTTCTTTGGTAGTACACTAAATAGGCTACTGCTAGTAAAATGCACTTGGACTTGGATTAACGCAGTATTTGATATTTATAATTTAAATGCGACTGGGTTTTATATGTATATATGTTTATATGTGGATGACCATCTCCATGTAGCCTATATCCTTTAAATATGGCAATTTATTTGTACTATTTTTATATAGGCCTATTGTTTACAACGCACAAAAACACTTGACTTGTACACAGACATTTATATTATAGTTGGTCATTGTTGCTTTATATATATATATATATTTCACTTGGGCTACTTGTGTAGCTAGACTTGTCTCTAAAGTCCTTGCATGTGTAGCCAGTAAAGCTGATTCAGATGATTTTTTTGCGGTTTATTTTAATGTGCTAACATTCGTCTACAGATCCCCATCGTAACTGTACAGGAGCGGTGCCATGCAGAGGCTTTTATACAGAGATGACTGTTGGATTGGTCCTTTTCTTCACTCCAGAAAATAGTAAAGTTCCTTTTTTTATAGACACTATCAACCTAAACTGCACTACATTACATTACATTGCACTGTTTAGTAACATTTACCTAGATCTGACCTTACAAATATAAGAAAATATGGTCTTACAGAAATCAGTAAGGTTTTCAAACTAATTCAAGGCTGCCAATAGATGTAAGCGAATTATGTTGAAGTTCATTTCAGGAAAACAGAAGAGAGGATGTTTTTGTACAAGTCGATGTGAATTGACAAAATGCCATGTCATTTTATGTTTCTCATATGTTGTTTTCAATCCATAGCTTCGACGTTGACACGAATAAGATCCACATTGTTTACAAGGGAGTGACCACAAGAAAATCAACACCTCCCGGGCCACAATGTTCTAATAAAATGTAAACTCCTCCAATGGATGCTATCTGTGCAAGGCTTAAAACGTTGCATTGTAGCTGAGATTGCATGGGAAAGGGGGATTTTTATGACTATTGTTTCTCATGAACATCAATCTATCTATCTGTCTATTTCTATATCTCTGTCCATCTATCTCCATCTCCATGTATGTGTTTTAGGCCTAATTCATTGTAAAGTGGTTGGTAGCCTGCATGTTTAACTCTTTTATTGTGCCTTGATGGCCTGTATTTTCTGGCAATGAAAGAAAGCATTTTGAACGTTAACCCAAAATGATTCTCAATAATGATTATAATGTGCACTGGAGGTATTTCATGAAGCCTATGAATGCGGACGTGCATCATCCACTTAAGGCCCATTTACCCTTGATACTAGCTATATGGGTCAGACCGCAGAGTCACCTTGTTAAAAAGAAAAAAAACATCCACGTGCATTCAAATGAGAGCTCCTGGCACTAAAAGCGACATAAGACAAATATTCTTAAAATATTCCTGACTACTGTGATGGTAAGAATTTAACGTCACCCCTCACCCCCCCAATACCAAAATTATTTCCTCATGGAGCATTTTACTTTGCGGTATTGGGAGCAAGGGTGGGGCGGAACAACATATTTTGCATATCACGTGACGCCGTATTAACAAATCAACAATTACCTACCCTTTATTCTTCAGGAGTTGCTAAAAGGCTTGCAACAAGCGTTTGAGGAAAGCTCAATGGAAATGTGTGAGCGGAATCCTTTAAATCCCGGTTATGTTGGTTCTCTGTTGAATTTTGCGTCCCCCGAGTCGCTGTATTTCTCCAACTTGCGGGGTAATGGAGCCCACATACCCGGGCTGCATCAGATCCCTTACAATAGGAGAGAGGTGTGCACGCTCCCGTGGACTTCCTCAAGTTCGTGCACGTCTGGACCTCCAGCACCACCTCAGAGCCGCGCCTTTGGCGGCTACTGTCCGCCGTTTCTGTCCAACTCGGTGTCTATAAATTCTAACTCCTCTGGTGGCCACGTCAAGGCGCATTTGGAGGAGTCGGCTCGGTGCTTCCAGAACACAAACCACAAGACACCGGAGTCTACCAGACAAGATGAAGTTTACGCTGGGGAGCACGGGGCCGCCAGTGACCGCGGCTACTCAGATCTGGAAAGCCGGTCTCTCAGTTCTGCGGCCCAGCTTGATCCGAATTCAGCAGGTCCACTAAATGTGAACAGCACCAAACAGGAGCTGAATCCCGTTCACCCATCGTCAGGTCACACATGCTCCAGGACGACTTTTACAGAAGGTTATGGTTAATATTATAAAAGCATTATTGAAGCAACTATTTTGTTGCTTCAACTTTATATAGGCCTAGTTAAAAAACAACAACATTGTAACACAATAGATAAGGACTATAAGTAGATATCTGCTTATTTAGCCTATTCTCTTTTGTGATCTGCTGTTATGTCATTATAGAAGGCTAAACCATTTCTATTAGCGATTATTGTTACAGGAGTTATTTGAATACCTTATAGTTTGACATCATATAATGAATTCATATAGCTATATTCAGCTTATATATCCTTTGGCAACATTATTATTTTAATATTCCCTATAATATCCTTATAGTCAACTGTGCATGGTATTCTTAGTAGCCTGAAATTCGTTTTTCTATATACAGTAGTCATGACAGTATTTACTATAATGTTTCACTAAGCAGTACCCTACAAGTGGGAGCAGTTATTTTCCTTCAGTTCAAATCACTGTGGCTGAAGTTGGTGTTAATTTAAAGTATAAAACTTGTTTCTACCTCTGCTCCCTCCAGGTGCCCCATGGTGCTCATCACAAGTGAAAACTAGAAAGAAGAGAAAGCCTTACTCGAAACCTCAGCTGGCCGAACTTGAGAATGAATTTATGATGAACGAATTCATCAACAGACAGAAACGAAAGGAACTGTCGGGCAGACTGGACCTGAGCGACCAACAAGTAAAGATATGGTTTCAGAACCGGAGGATGAAGAAGAAACGACTGATGATGCGCGAGCATGTTTTCTCCGCATACTGATGACCTTTGGACTTGATCATGACCAGCAGCGAGCAGAATATGCTGTGTTGTATGAATGTTAACAGCGTCAAAGCGGTTTGTGAACTTGTATTTATAAATATGTATACAATGTTTATCTTCCTATCATAATAGGCTACAGTTTTATCCCTACAACTTCAATGATATTAGTGGTAAAAAAAAACGCATTGCAGATATATATATATATTCTGATTTTGAGATTCTCCAAATGCGCAGTAGGCCCTGGCTCCTGGTTGGCCTATGGCGGTCGATAATGATAAACCTTTAAGCCTATTTTTTTTCTCATTCAGCTCAAATGTCAGACCTATTTAACAGGAATATGGTTCTATTTGTTTTTGTGTATTTTGTAAAATGGCCTGCGCATGTATTGTGGGCCTAATGCGGACGCAAACAGTCAAGTTCATGTTTACGGACGGATTAAACCAATTCAGTAGCCTACTGCAAAATAGTATAGTATAATCGCATGTCTGCTTCCTAATTGCTGATATTAAAGTAACTGCCTGATTTTCCCTAACATTTATTGTAAATCTGATTAAATAACAAAAGTTACATTTCTTTTGTTCTCTATGGCCACATTTAAAGTCGGTCTGTGGATGATTAGCGCCGCATTTAGTGCTAGAAGGTGTTTTCTTCAAATGCCTGCAAAACAAGTGTTTTTGGACAATACGTTCTGAGGATGATAGTTCAAACTACATAATAACTGTATTAAATAAGATGGATTTTTCTTGTCAGACCTGGTTTTGTGTTGCTATTCTGCACTACCACAGACCAGAGTCCCTCTTGCTCTGTAGAGCTTTATAGATACATAATTAATGAAATTATATGTCACTTTGGGTTGAACTAATTAAAGAATCTTTCCAGAAAGCATGTTATTGCAAAACTCAATAGCATTAGACCAGCCATCCTTTTACACACGGACAAGAGATTTTGTAAAATGGACGCAACTTGCAGATACATTTGTAAATAAAGGGAATTCTTAAATGACCTGTTGACGAATTATTGTGCATCATGTGAGTTTTATATTTTAAGGCAGTACATTGAATGACGAGATACTGAATGAGGTTTCAAATGTAGACTATATACTGTAGCTGTATTCGCGATTATTCAGTCAGTCGCTCACTAGTTGATCATTATATTTCTCTGTTTGAATACGTTAATTGTTAATTGTCAACACTCCTTATAAAATAGTTAAATTTAATTCTAATTTAATAAAAAATGAATTTACTTAAGAAACCATAGTGGTTGTTTTTGGCAGCATGTGGTGTTGGAAAGACCAGAGTATGCGAGAGTTGTTATCTTTTGCTGGAGATAAACGGAACACTCCTCACTTTATCGGTTGATTATGGAAAGTATTTGTTGCCTTTATGCACAGACACTTTGGTAACATCATGGGAAATAATCCAGCTCTCACTATAAAATGAAACGTCCTAGTCTGCATTCACCTATCTCTAGTAAATGTCACTTTATCTTAAAACATAACAAAATCACCGACCACTTTATCATTGTTGTGTCATAATCATCCATCTTTCCTTTGTTGTAAATTCAGTAGCAAATACTTAAAAATTGGATTTTTCTCAACAAAATTGACATGTGTATTTTCTTCAGTGTTGGTCACATGTTCGTTTGTATCTATTTAGAATTCCTGCTCAGCGCAGACACGTGATTCCTGCTCACAGTAAACATACAACACAGCAGCAGCTTACAACCACAGGCACAACCTCCACATGTCAGAAGGAGGTTATTGTGGCTTTGACCAAATGGATGTGTTGTAAAAGTGCATCCTTTTATTTCTCACTGATATTTTAAGCACTTTAAACGTCAAAAAGTGGTTCCTCTGTGGGTATTAGAAGCGATTATTTTGATGCATGTGCTAGCCTATATCATTGTTTATGTTTGCCAAAACACCCTGCTGTTGTTTTTCACATTAGGTTTGAGAGCTGACAAAGTTTAAGTTCACTTTGGTTCTGAGGGCAGAGGCTCAAACTGCAACTATTATACTATACTACTATAGAGTTGCCAACAGAGTACCGTACACATGAATGGATGATCCATGAGAGTGAATCTATTAATGGACCCATCCCATTACATCATCACCACGTCATCAGCACTGCAACTATAGTTTGTCTGCAGAACATGACACTGCAGGGACATAAACGCTTCCTGAAAGTCAGAGAAACATTTCAAACCCACTAGTTTGTGATGAAACGTGAAGAGATGGTTCCTCCAATTAGTGGCTGTTACAGATCGTTTTTTCCACATTTGGGCTTTTATTGTGTTGAGCTGTTGGGTTTCAATGTCTATTTGCGCAATTTGGCAATATTTTTAACATTATTTTGCACTCTACACTCAATATGCTGCGGCCCTGTTGAGTTTCACTTCGAGGCCTGTCTGATTTCTCTCTACTTAAAATCCTTCCCACACAACACGTTTAATTAGTTTTTTTATTGCTCAGACCAGTTTGAACGGCCACACTTGAGTTTTCTATGCGTCAGATAGGCAACGTTTTCCTTCATTATTTGTTATTTTATTGCTTTATTGCCCAACGCATATAGCTCAGGCTCCTTAAGATTGTGGGGGCGCCAAAACAAAGTTAAGGTCAAGTTAGTAGGCTGTGCATTGCTACTTCCCCAATATTAGCACCAAAGCTACTTTCTTTGTGAGGATATATGAATTTGTTTCTCTAAATGTCTATTTCTACAACAGATATAAACCATTTTGAAGTAGATTCTCCTATTTTTAGTACAATTGTTGTAATAAAGTCCGTATCCGTATTATGCGCAATGCGCACATATTACACACAACAAAACATGTTCAGTCACTAAAATAAAAGTTTAATTCAAGTTTGCTTCCTCTAAACTTCTAGCCTGCAGTTTAATCCTATATGTTGAAGTGACAATGTAAAAAATCTAGCGCATTTGTGAATATCAATTACACTCAGAAAATTAAACGTCCCACGTTATTTTAGTGCAAAACCGCAAAACCGCAAAACGGATTTAGGCTAATAATAATAATAAGATTGATGAAATTAATACACATTTTCCATCCAAATTTCCAAACAACAAACAGATAAATTAAAAGGCACAACTGAAAAAAATAAACAGTTACACAAGTGAGAGGGGCAACAGGTCGCTTTAACGCTGTCTTATTTGTCTGTTTGAGAAGTTCAGTCTTATGCGATCATTCTAATATTTCACTTTTCACTGTGATGAGGTTTTGAACTCTTTAGGCTGTGTCCAAATTTCACCCTCATTTTTTTGTAAATAAACACAAATGTTGTTTTGCATGCTAACTGCCTGAGGGGGGTTTCAACGTGAACCCCAGACGCCTTAAAGCTACTTCCACATTTTATGTGTGACCTTCAAGCTTGCTTGTCCTCTCGCTACAATACCCGGCCTTCAAATTCGAGCTGCCTATCTACTGGAGGAGCACAACTTGCATGATAATGTTGTTTTCAGGCCTGCAACAACTAGGAAGTGCTTGATTTTCATTTACATTTTGCTGTCCTTCTCTACTTTCTTACCAGTAATAAACATAAAAATCATACTCACAGAGGGAAACAAAATATTGATCGAGGCTCGAAGACTTGTGGTATCCGTTCACCAGTGTTATATCTCCTTTTCCCCCACCGAGAACAGGGCCTGAACCCTGCAGGCATGGCGCTGCCGTCGTGCAATAAAATGATTTGGGTGCAGAGGTTTGTTGTTGAATGCTTGGTGGACATCACATAGACCACATACGGTCAAAGCCAGCTGTTTTGGACTTAGCCACGCTCAGTGTGCTTAGTGATTCATGGCTGCATTTGTGCATTTTACTTCCCTAATCAACCTTTCTGCATCTGCAATAGCAGAGTGTGGGTTGATTTTATACTTTTTTTCGCGCGCGCTCATCTGCATTCATTATTAAGGTGTAGGCTAACAAATGAAAAAACAAGCAGCAAACAATGTTTTAACATTAAGTACAAGCCCACGTGGCTGACACGGGCTAGCTCCATGCCCTGCAATAGAATTCATAAAAGAATAAGAAATAGCAGTAGTTTAGCCTATTTATTTCTTTTCTGGCACCTGAGCTTGTTTTGCACTATGCCGCAGGCCAAGATGCTTGTATCTGATAATGAATTCAAATGTTTTCCTGCTGCGTTTGTTTGTGTGTATTTAAATGTCCTCCAACCGCCACGCTGCACAGCGATTACGCGCAACGCACCCCAACATTTACTTGCATAAAAATGACTTAATGAACCGCTTGTTAATCCTAAATAATTCTGCAGTCTTCCTGTTTAACTGTGCAGCGAATGTGCATGCGCGGTGGCCTTGGGTGCCATTCTCCCCGAGCTCTGCCTGCAACGCGGAGGTCAACTTCAATGTTTCCAAACCTAACTGTTGCTGCAAACGCCTGCTTCAAAGTGCGGCGAATTTATTGACGAATATGCGTGCGGATGTCATTACAGGATGAAGATTATGTTGCTGTAAAAGCATTCAATTAAATATTAGAGCTGCGGTTCAAATGTTCCTTTTCTATGAGCTACAGGGCAAGAAGGCTGGAGAGGAGTTTCCTCTGCAGCCAGGGAGCCAATGAAGTCTCTTGCATTCGCTCACATGAGTTTCTCCGGACAGTTTTTAATGACTGATATTGATGTATGGTAATTTCTTGGCTGGATCACATGACACAATTACCTCAAGAATCGATCAAGATGTATTGCAGGTCTGCCTACGTTTCCGATTTTTTCTCCCTGGCGGGGTCTTTCCACGCGCTTTTGGTGCTATAGATGGACAAAGTTTAACACAGCCAAAGCTGCCAAATCCTTTCCTCTGTTGCAAAGAGGAAAAGGGAAGGAGAGATATGACTGAATACGATGATCGCAGCTGTGCGTCAAATATGTATTTACCGAGCTGTACTTATTATGTTTCGACGCCCGATTTTACATCAGTCTCCTCCTTTTTACCGCAGACTACTTCGTGTCAGATTAATTTCCCCTATTCTCCCAACATAGCCCAAGTCCAACCTGTTCGAGAAGTCGCTTTCAGGGATTATGGACTGGACCATCCCAGCAAATGGCACTACAGGGGCAATTACGCGTCCTACTACTCAACGGACGAGATGATGCATCGGGACTTGATCCAGTCCTCCAGCAGCAGGGCGGATGTAAGATTCAAAAATGAGTCCTTGTATGGCCACCACGGGGGCACAAGCTCGCCCTGCAATTTCTTCACCAACGTCGGCCGAAATGGGGTTCTTCCCCAGGGCTTCGACCAGTTTTTGGACGCTGGTAACTCGGACAAGCCCAACGCGGAACTCCCCAAACAAAAGACAGACTCTGCTGCTCCCGGAGATGCTGCGAACAACATTCAGGCTTTAACCAAACTGGAACAGCACAAAGCTGAGCCGAGCGGGAGCGGCGACGAGGACTCGTCCTCCAACTGCGGCGACAGAAACAGCCAACAGAGTAAGTCAGTGTCGTCCTCTTTGTCTTTGGATATAAGGTGTGCAGTTTGGACAATAGAGCGTCTAGGCTGCGCTGTGTCCACCGCCGTGGCCCGTCCAGGGCTACGCGCCTCTTTATAAGCATGCAAAAGCTTTTATATCCCAATAAGATTTACTTTACGGTTGTAAAGGTTTTTACAATGGGGAACGGTTAAGTAACCATACTTTAAAGGTCGTCTTGCGTCTAATAACAATACTGCGTTGCTGGAATTGATTTGTATTTATGGGGGAAAATCAGAAAAGTTTATTTTATCGTCTTAGGCATTGTTGTGCAGGTATAGCAACACTTACAGGGAATCTAAGACATAATGTGATGCTCTGCCTCCATACAATACAACTACTTATGCATAAAAATCTATAAAGTTAATTTTAATGCAAATGCCTCTGTTGTTGTCTCTCTGTGTGTGTGTGTGTGTGTGTGTGTGTGTGAGAGAGAGAGAGACAGAGAGCCTTTGTGCAGTAATAAATGTATTTGTCAACCTGTAGACTGAACTATAGTCAAAATGTTATGACGTGATCTTTATTTTTTCCCCACGTTTTCTGTTCTTGTGCAGGTTCATCAACCAAGTCCAGGAAGAAGAGGTGTCCTTACTCCAAATACCAGATCCGAGAACTTGAACGAGAGTTTTTCTTCAACGTGTACATTAACAAAGAGAAGCGGCTTCAGCTGTCCAGGATGTTAAACCTGTCCGATCGGCAGGTGAAGATTTGGTTTCAGAATAGAAGAATGAAAGAGAAAAAGCTGAACCGCGACCGCCTACAGTATTTCACTGGGAATCCTTTATTCTGATACCTGACATAGGCCTAGTGCACACACACACACACACACACTCACACACACACACACACACGGTAGTAAAATAGAAGCTATACACCCATATCTTTTAAAGACTGCCCCCTCTGCATATTCAGCTGACATATGTGAGCCCGTATCATCCTGTTTAAACTGTTTATTTAGCAAAAATCTTATTGCAAACAATGTATGCATTTATTTATTTGTGTTCACATATTTTTTCGAGTTATTGGCAAAAAATATTTCAGCAAAGAGCGAGCTGTGCTTTGAAATTATTTATATAAAAATGTGTAGGCGTTCTACCGTGTGTAATGTCCATTTATAGGACGCATGTAGCCTAATGCACGTTGTGGTGTGAAATAAAGTAGACACATCAAATGTATCATAGTCACGAAACTTGTCACATGAACCTAACCAAGTCCTACAGAAATAACATGAAAAGGGGGGATTTTTCTTAAGATTCATCAATGGAGAAATTTGGCGCTTGCGGGCTTCAATGATCCCGTTAGTTCCTTTTGCTTTCAAACACGGGTTGTTTACTAAACCTTGAACCGTCCAGACAGTATAATAAACGTAGCTGTAAATATCTAAATAGGGGGCTATTGGACTTTGGTGTCCCAACCCCCCATTCCACGAGAGGACTGATTCACTTTCCTGTCCCAAAGTAGCTAGTTTCGCTCCAGGCTACAGATGTTTGGAGAATTCTAGAGATTTCTGCGCATCCCGTCCACATCTCCTTCTCACATCCGATACTGTCACAAATGTTACCAGTGTTAAATGGGAGACAATAGGATGTTCTAACACGGACAGCCATATAGGATAGGCAATTGTTCAAGTGTATCTGCTTTTGTATTCTGAACAGACGAAATGTGGCTTTGACGCCTCTAAATTTGCTGCAAAGGAGAACAATTTCTAATTAGCATAAAAAGCGTGTTTCCATCTTTAATTAATGCAGGTGTTCGTGCAGCTCCACTGTACATTCACCCCAGGCTGGCTCTATAAGAAGTGAAATCATCTGGGGCCATGTTTTACCTCAGTAATGTATATGTTCTATTTTTATAACCAAAGGACAGAGTAAGTAAATGCATTGATTCCACACAAACAGTCGCTTTATTGATCATTCATGTGATGCCAGTAGGGGATTATTTTCACTTCAGGTCTTTGCAGCAACAATTACACCCCTTGTTTCAGCGTCTTTTATGGGGAAGAAAAAAAGGTTGTTTATTTCATTTGTGATGTGTCACATATTCAGTTATTTCCCAAAAAGGCTATAAGAAAACCGGGATTTCATTAAGCGTTTGATTGGGTTGTCATCATGTCCTGCAGTGAAATTGCATTACCAACTGTGTGGGGCATTTCACTTTGCTTCTCGGTGTATCCACATGAGGGCAGACTTGCAGCTTTAGCTTCCCGTGGAAATGCAGGGTTCTGCCAAATTTAACATCTTGTCCTGCATGAAAATCATCCAGTGGAGGGGTAATCCGTTCTACATGGGTTTTGTTTGGATTTTTATTTAAATTCATTTCAATTAAAAGTGCATTCAGTTGCATAACCTTGTCATGTCTTCGACAGAATGCTATTTTTTTTCTAACTCCATTTTTTACATCAAACATTCAACAGTAGCCTGTGGGCTACATTGTCTACAGTGTCTCTGTAGAAAAACAAGAGCACAGATAATCTTAATCCTTAATCTCACTGTTTTTTTAGTCAAGTATTTAGTCTAGTTTTTTTAGTTTAACTGGTGCAAATCCCGTGTCCCGCAGACTGCAATTAGCCTACATTTACAAGTCATGTTCAAGTGTTTTGAGAGTCAAAGAAAATAAAATGTACTCCGTGTCTTTGCCATCTGAACCTTTAAACGGTCTTTATCTGAAGGCCACATAATATTCTGGGCCAGTCTCTACAGACTCCAAATACTCTGCCGAAAATTTTACTTTCATTGGATTTAGTTTTGTAGCCTTATAGCTGTTATTAAAATATCCGTAGGCCTATCCGTATAACACGTAGGCCTGCTCCAAGAAGGAGAAATGGAGTAGGCTACTTCTGTAGTTTCAAGCTTTAGGTTTTGCCAGAAACTACAACAATGTCTGTGTACTCTTTTCGAATAACTCTACTCTTATGTTTTAATTGTATATGCTAAACCCTGATGTTTTAAATAGACCCAACAGTGGATCTCCTGATATTCCCTTTAAATTATTATTATTAGGCTAACAATAATAATAAACTATAGCCAATAACCTGAGGTCCAATTTCTCTTTACACTTTTAAGGTACTAGTTTATATTTTGTGCGTGTGTGAACTGTTGATTATACCTGAAGAATATACTCCATACGCCTACTCTATAAGACTACAGTTTTTTTGGCTCAGTGCCTCACATGGTATACAAAATCGCCCGATGCCATTTTTGAGCAATTAGGCCTATTATAAATCTGATTATTAAAACATAAATGATGTCCGTGCTGTCAAATGTCTCCCTTAGCCTTCTTGCTTTAAAATGGCCGAATATCAAGATGTGTATTTTTTGCACCTATTTGAAATTTGCGTTAACAAGCCTCTGTTTTGCTGTTTGTGAATCATGGGATGTTGAAATGATTTGCATACTACAAATGTGTATTTACAACCAACTGTACCGAAGAGCCTTGAAGGCCTGGCAGATGATCCTCTCACAGAAGTTTGATTATTTAAACCTTGTGGCATAAATACCAAAGCTATAGGCCTAATTATTTCAAGCCGCATGTACAGTGTTTTCTTCATGTGGTTGTTTATTAAGACTTGTAGGATCATTATTAATACCGTGGCCTGACTTCAGGTTTGTGGTCGATGGACATATTCAAATACAATGTGTTTTTATCTGCCAGACACACTTAACAGACACTCTGTTTATCTTGCACACATTTGCCTTCCTTGCAGACAAAAACAATGAAGCCCCGAGGTTTTTGTTTTGTAACTTTGCATTTGAACATCGGAAATACACGTGACAACATGCAAATAAAGACATTGTGCTTGATAATCTGTGCAAATAATAAAGAACAATTTTCTATCCGTCTTAAGTTGACTTTATTTGAAAAGTAAATCCTTTCAGTGTTATAGTGTTGACCTTCATGCATACAGAGCTTCTAACAGAATGTACTCACATTTTAGTTTTAAATGACCGTTGCCAATATATTGAAGGGTTTGGGTGCAACAGGAAAATAATTCATATGCAAAACAAAAAACACCAACAAAAACCCCCATTAAACTTCAAAACCTGAATTAATAAAAAATTGAGAGGAACAGTGTTTTGCAATGTGTCATATTTATTTAGCTTTCTGTCTTTATTTAAATTCATAGGTATTGGAGACAGTCGTCGTGAACAGTTGATAATAAAAAACACAAAATTAGTAAAGGTTACATTATTTAAAATAGTCTGCACTCGTCGCCTATGCGCCATGTAGACAGCATTACACACACACACACACATACACACACTCTCTCTCTCTCTCTCTCTCTCTCTCTCTCTCTCTCCCCATCTGCCTTCAGTCTGTCTCTCACACAAAGAAACATAAGCATCTTGCACATTGAAAACACTTACACTTAATAAAGCTTCAGTTTTTGAACAGATAAACTCCAAATGAAGGGGGACTATTTTCTGATGTCATTCAAATCGTTATTAAATGTGATTGTTTCATTTGTGATGAACAGCCTCTCGCGAAGCCCCGTTTGCCTGCGCAGGTCTGTAAACCAATTTCAAGTCCGTGTTGTAGGTGTCGCTGTTGACCACGTCTGCATCCGCAGTACGCGTGTGTGTGTGTGTGCGCGCAGGGGAGAGGAGGCTGCGTCTCAAGGCCATTTTCAAATCTCATTGGTGGGCTTGTCATGTGGTCGGGAGGCATCCTGACTTACACTGAGATTGTTTTTCCTAGATATGTCAGCTTACAAAGGACATCTCTCTCCTCTAAAGAACTTAATCCCCCAAAATGTCCTTTCCCAGTAGCTCTCCTGCGGCAAACACATTTTTAGTGGACTCTTTAATTGGTGCTTGCAGGACGGACAGCTTTTACTCCAGCAGCAACATGTACATGCCGTCTGGCTCAGAAATGGGAACTTACGGAATGCAAACCTGTGGACTCCTGCCGTCTTTCGGCAAAAGAGGGGAGGTCAACCACCAAAATATGGGCATGAATGTCCACTCGTACATACCTCAAATAGATAACTGGACTGATCCGAATAGACCCTGCAGAATAGAGTCGTCCAGTCAGATGTCAAACTGTACATTTTCACAGAGCATAAAGGAAGAGAGTAACTGCTGCATGTACTCCGATAAGAGAGTACAGAAAGTCAGCTCGTCAGAGGTCCCTGCATATTCAAACGTTATTCCCGAGTCTTGTCCAGTCGATGGTCCCGAGATCCCGGTTCCGGGCTATTTCAGACTGAGCCAAACTTATGCGAACGGGAAACATCAGGAACACTACTGCCATGAGCCGCCGAGTCCAAACCCAACACTGCTGCAACTCAGCCGGGTCACCCCGAAACCGCAGTCCTCATCGGCCTCTTCTAATTTCGCAGAGGTGGGAAAGAAAAGCGAGGACGTCCCGCAAAACCCCGAGACGTCAAGGACACCGGCCCCCGCAGAAAGCCCGGATCCCAAATACAGCTCGGGGGAGAAGATCTGCTCCACGGAAGACAGTGTATCCAGTCCTGAGCAGCTGCAGAAGGAAGGGAAAGGTGGGTTGGCTACAATGAAAGCTTTTTATCTTGTGGCGCTGCAGTGCTGAGAAGGCTCCAGCACCATAAAACCAAGTATAAAACACAAACAACCCTAAAGTCGTAATGTTTAATGAGAGTCTTTCTCAGGTTGCAGTAATAGGCAACAAAATGGTTTCACCATGCAGCATGCAGACATGCTTGTAACCCTTTCCTCAGATATTTAAATTCAAATAGGGCCCATGCAATTAAAAAAAAAACAATATTTTCACAATCTGCTGCTATATATTTGGAATATTGCGCCCTTTTAAAGAAACTAACAATTTAACCCAAGCAGCTATTGTAACTGTGATATTATGATCACTCCAGGATCTTTAAATATATGTGCATTTGCAGCGGTGTAATGCAGAATAATTGAGTATTTAACTAGAACCCTGCAACATGACAATATCACTGTATTTGAAATTCTATTTAAATTAGATATTTTTTTTAAAACAATTTAATCAAAGGTTACATGTTATTGCATTTTAAGCTTTTGTAAAATTAATAGATTTTCTGATAATGTTTCAAGCTCTATAAGATGTGTTCCTGGTGTGCGGTTTGATCAGCTGGGGGTTCATTTCATTTCTATTTTATTAGCGGTGGCAAGTATGTGACTAATAACACCCCCTGCATTTAATTATTCCGGGAAAACATTTATATTTTGTTATTTCCCAGAGGCAAAATCCAAAAGTAGCAGGTGAGACCTTGCTCAGGCTGAATCGCACTGATAATGTCTCTGATCTAAATCTTTGCAGTTTGCAAGAACGACACGCCGACGAGCAACTGGTTGACTGCAAAGAGTGGGAGAAAGAAAAGGTGTCCCTACACAAAGCACCAGACCTTGGAGTTGGAGAAAGAATTTCTGTTCAATATGTATCTGACCCGAGAGCGCCGCCTAGAGATCAGCAGGAGCGTCAACCTGACCGACAGGCAGGTCAAGATCTGGTTTCAGAACCGCAGGATGAAACTGAAGAAAATGAGCAGGGAAAATCGCATCCGTGAACTGACCTCAAATCTCACCTTTTCGTGAGCTTGCATGTTATCTGTGGTTATAGCTGTCTGTTACGTTTCCCTCTCATATTCAGTTTGGTGCTTTAGTGGCATTGGACGTTTATCTTCAATTTCAACGAAACTGTGACTATAAATGCCAATTTCAGTACTTTGTGTGGTGTCATGTACTTGTTTTATTTTATCACAGGGTAACACTTTTTGGTCTTAAGTTATTGGAGGAGTAGGTTTCCCCCCCGCCAGTAGACATGGATATTCTGTTGTGTCGCGATGGCGAGCTGTTTGGAAAGTGTTAGCCTACTCTATTTCAGTCATGAAAGCACATTTCATTGTCCTGTAGTGCAACACTTGTTTTACAGTAAGTGCAAGTCATTTGTTCAATAGTGAAATGTTTCAATGGGCCTTTCAAAGTGGCGGAGAACAATGTTAATCTGTGAATTTATTGCATGTTTGTGGCATGTATCTTGCAATAAATTGTCAAATAATCTTGTTTTGTATTTGTTCGTGCTACGAAAGTCTCTACAGTTATCTCCGTTATCAGCAGTTACTATATCAGTGTGGAAGTCTGTGGCAGTATTTGCACTGGGGCAGGCACTATTTTGCTGAAAACGGTTATGAGGAGGAGGAAAAAAACACACAAAAAATACATTTTCTAAACATGTCTATTGCATGTTACTGCAAGACAAGAAATGGGATTTCAACAATGTTCCTAACGTGTTTTTAATTCCAATAATGCTCCATCTTCATCTGACGAGGGACCTTAAAGCTTAAAGACTTAAAAATATTGAGTAGCTAAAGGGCTACCAGCAGTTATAACACATGCTGTTTGTACTATGTAATACAATACTTTAAATATATCACAGTGTCCTGAAAACAATTTGATTTTTTTTTTTTTACCAAAAGAGCTTAAATACAAAACAGGTCCTGCCTCTTTTGCCGTTTACTGTCAATCGTCTGTTTGTGTTCTGGCCCATAGGCCACAGTGCAGCAGAGAGAAGCAAAGAGGCAGTCGTCGTGTCATCCAGTAAACATAGTGTTACTTTTATTTTCAGGCCTGTTTGTGACTAAACTAATAGTCTATCGGGACTATCAGGCGTGGACACGTTCAAGCACAAATTCACAGGCAAGAATCAGCTCTTCCTTCCTTCCCGAGAGACGCAGGCTTCAGTAGCCACGTTGCATTTCGTGTTCATTGCACATCACTTCATATTATCATCCGTGATTAAATTACATGTTACATGGTTCAACTGTCAGTCTGATCCAGTCTGCAGATTTGACCTAAACATAAACTAGGCTACTGCCTATGAAATGTGCTTCTGTTTTTTTTTTATCTTGACTGAAGGTCAACATATTTCTCAAATCAAACAGAAAAGAGTTCATTTCTGTTTAAAAAAGGGGGAAAGATGCATATTACATTTAAATTACACCTTTCAGACACAATGCACAGATGGACTTTGCTTCTCCAAGGCTTCCTTTTTTTTATTGACAGCATGTATAATCACACGCACCTCATAAAACATTTATTGATACATAAAGACATTATTGCCCTCCTTTGAATGAATACAATAATTTCACAACTGCCTTTTCCGGCTTAGCTTTAAAAATTAAACTGACCTCAGAAAATATGTTTCCTCGCCGAATATTAACAATGGATACACCGCGTTGTGAACGGAAATGGCTTCTGTTATTTTACAACATGTTATTACATATATTTTACGAGGGCTCCTAAGTCTATAAACCATTTTACTAGCATTGAGGGTATCAGGACGATATTACAAGACTTTTCTCAAACATTAAGATACGGCGAATCCGTGTTGGTGGACTGTGGGGGGGTGAAAGTGTCTTATTCCTTTTTTGAACTGCTGGTATGTTGCAATATCCCGCAGCCACTCGCACATGAGAAACAGAAAAAACAAACATTTGCATTCATTTGAGCGATTGTTTTCCCCCTCCAGTCACATCTGATGTGGCTTTTTATTATTTGTGAAATGAAAAGCTAAATTAAACCTGACAACAACACACACAAAAAAGCAGGGCAAGGGCTGGATTGATTTACTCGCTGTATTGGTAAATATGACCACGTGATCCATGTAACCAATCCCTGTAGATGCAGGCCAGCAAAAATACTACGATTGTTCACAGAGGGAAGCTTCCCCTAACAGTGCAACCCTTATTATATGAGTAGGAAGAGATCAAAAATGTCTTCCAGTGGCACTCTCAGCAACTGCTATGTGGACGCTATAATGGGGCAGGAGCCGGAGGATGTGTACGGTGCTCGCTTTATTCAGGCTCCACACATGGTGACCCCGAGGCCGTCAGGTGCTGGGGACAACGCAGACTTCTCCTCTTGCAATTTTGCACCAAAGTCCGCCGTTTTCTCCTCGTCTTGGTCCTCGGTTCACCCGCAAGGGATTTATCATCCGTACGTGCACCACCACCACCAGTCCCATCTCCCAGCCTCGGACGGCAGATATGTAGGCGTCCGCTCCTGGATGGACCCCATCTCCAACCACGTTTCGTTCGCCGGATTTCACTCCAGCACTCGGCCGTACGGGACAAAGCCAGAGGTCTTCCCACCGAAAGCTGCGGAGTGCGACGCTTTGGAAGCGGAGGCTCGGCCGTTCGCCGGTGAATTCGCGTGTGGAGTCTCGGAGAGTGCAGAAAAGGCGACCAAAGGGCACAGTGGAAGTGAGCTTTCGAGCCACAGCGAGCCAAAAGAGGAGAAACAACAACAACTTGACCCAAGTAAGTAAACGAAATAGCCAGTCCTGATTTACAACCCTAAGAACTGTAGGAGCTGGGTGTGTAAAACCTCCAGTTTTACTAACCTATAAAAGTGTCTCGCACCGCGGCTCGGGAAGGGGTAAAAACCCGCCCTGCAAATGGTTATTACAGGGGATTCTAAAGTTTTTCATGTCGCAGGACACCCAAAATAGATACACATTGCCCCATGTTGATGAGATTTTATCTGATGAGATAGATATAGGACTAATTTGTTTTCTTCCTGGTAGGGGGCTTATCAGTAAAAACAGGAAACATGTAATCTAAATTGCATTTTCTCATTGTCTATCAAATTAAACTGTTTCCCAGTTTGCTTTTGATCCACTGCAACCACACTACTGCAGTGTCCTTTACAGTTCCACGAACCTCCATTTGGGCTTAATTCTCTGGAAAATATTCAATTTTAAAATATTTTTTTTGCACATCTATGTCTTCTTATGTGTCTTTCTCTGTTTTTATTCTCTGTCCAGACAACCCTGCAGCAAACTGGATTCACGCACGCTCAACTAGAAAGAAGCGATGCCCATACACAAAATATCAGACTTTGGAGCTGGAGAAGGAGTTCCTCTACAACATGTATTTGACAAGAGACCGACGTTATGAAGTCGCCCGCATACTCAGTTTAACCGAGAGACAAGTTAAGATCTGGTTCCAGAACAGGAGGATGAAAATGAAGAAGATGAACAGAGAGAGGAGTAGCAAGGATCACCTATGAAACCACTGCTGGCCATTTCACACGTTTTAATGTTTGCACCAAGGAAGCCATCTGAACAATTACATTTATTTTGGTAGGAGCCTAGGTAGACATTTTATTTTTATTTTTAGCCCCACTAGGTAACGCAATGCGTCAGTATCCAAATCACATTTGCGGGAATTTGTCTTCATGAGATAAAGACTGGATCCCTCTCTTCTTTTAGAGAGTTCGATCTGACATGTTCTGTTTTACTATTTAACCAAATACACACACTGGGATGTTAAAGCATTTTTTTTTGTTAAGCATCCCCCGTCAGTTGGAAACGTGCCTATGTTTAGCCTATTGCTTTTAGAGCTGTTAAGAAATTGGAGTTGTATATAAAACATTTTCACAGCTTAAACTTCTTTGACTGCTATCTGTGTCAGCAAACACACACACACACACACACACACACACACACACACACACAGGCACGTGCACTGATAGATTTTCACAAAGACGTTTAGGCTACTTTCTAGGTGTATGAGTGATAAACAGGCGTGCTTTCTCACAGAGCAGAGTGAGTTGGTCCTGCATGTGGAAAGCAAATCATTAAATTAGCTCAAACATCGATATATATTAATATTTTTTCTTTATTAAATATATTTAGCAACTTTCTCTGCATGTTTCTGGCATATTGGCCGGTTATTTCATTTAAGTAATTAGATTTTTTTTTTTTAGATGGGAAAATATTCCCTGAGGGCTTGTTTACAGTGAGGCTGCTACTGCAGCACACTGTCTTGCAACCAAAACAAAAAAATGCCACACAAATTAAACCCAATAGAGTCAATGTTTGACAGTTGAATTTTCCAGCCAATAAATGAATCCGCAGAGATTAAAGGAATCCTTAGGAGGAAAATAACCCTAAGGAGAAGCAGTGTTACAATTCACGTTTTTAAAACGGTGGATTTGAAACTTAGAAGAACCAGTAATAAAGTGTTTACGATTGGGAGAGGTGTTGCAGCGGATTTCCAATTTATTGTCCAACTTGTACGAATAATTACTTTAAAGCAGGAAGAAACGCGGTCCAATAAAGCTATAGAAATGGCTAGACGTCTGGCCTAAATGAGTTTATGGTCCTGGCCAGTAATTGCATTCTCCTTTGAACCCCCTTTTTTCTTGGGCGTTTGGTTGTGTTGCTGACAAACCTAATGTAGACACTTTTCCACAGGGTGTCTGGTCGATGAATTGTTTTAGAGGAAATCACCCCCCACCTTAATGGTCACGTTTATTCCACTGCACTTCCCAACGATGGGAACAAAAACTTCAATTTGACTGCTGTCTGATACGTTTTTACCTGCTGATGAATTTATTTTATACTGAGATGGAACCAGGCATGAGTCCAATTGTTTACCCCCTGCAGGCTCAACCGGAGAAAACTAAATAGACTTTTAGTCAAATAGAAGGCTAATAATAATTATTCTTAAGCTTGTGCAAATAAATAACATTTTTTACTGCACAACTCAAATCAAATGGAAAAATTCTGAATTATGCAGAACTAAATGCTATCTGTTTACCTCTGATGGAGTTTCATTTGAAAAGTAGTGAGAGCGCTAGAGGGCGATATTGTTCTTTTAGTCTCAATTACATCTAGTCATTGACAGCCGAAACATATAGGCAACACATGCGCCATACCATACAACATGTAGCCTACTCATGGATTCATTGATAACGTATTTTTAAAGAAGAAACTATACTGTATGCCTTTGAGTGTCCTTTATAAAACTGGATGTTTTCGGGTTGTGAACTACTCAAAAGTCCAGATTCAGTATGGGGGTCCATTTTTAAGCAATAATAATAATATTAGGCCTAAAATTTTCTTGCTGAATGTAACGCTGTTATTGGGGAAAAACTAGAATAACACGCTGCTTGAACAGTGGCAATGCTGGAAGTCCAAATTCATGTTTGTTTAATGCATATTGCAGTTTTTAATATGGTGATTAAAAAACAAAACAAATCTCGTAGCCTAATAGTTTTCAGACCTCACATCTCAGCAATAAGTAGTTTGCGCAAAAGAGCCACTTTTAATCGATACAGAAAGGGGTTATGGAAGTCAGGAGCAGCCTTAGTCCATCATTTATAGACGAAAACCACAGATATAATTATAGTCAACATTTAGAAATGTATTCCTGTAAATGTCCCCTTATTTCCTCCTTTATCAATGTGATTTAGTATTTTAAACGACTTTGATTGTGTGCATTGATGTCACAGTTTCCTTGTATAGTGAGGTAATGAAAATATACAAAAATATAAAGATATATAAAGATTCAACTTTCTTATTCAAGCAGTGTCGAAACGTGGATGTTTTTGTTTAAATCGTTGACATCAACAATGTGGAGTTACAGTGAGCACAGAGGTGGTGCTGCGGCCTGTAGAGGAAAATAGCATATGTAACAATGTTTTTCCTCTTTCCAAATGGTATAGCCTAAGTCCATTATTAAAATAATCTAAGTACAATAAACTGAATAAGAAAAAATTAAGGTTTCTGTGACCCAAAAAAACCAAACACGTTTTAGGCCCGTGAGGGTGCTAATTTCCATTATCTGAAGCTAAACTGACCGTCAAGCTTGGGGCATTTAATATATATTTTATTATTTATTGTTTTACAGATTACAAGAGCTGTAAACGCCACAGGACTCCAAGTCAACATATAAGATGGAAACGCAGAAGTGTGCAGCCTGCTTTTCTTAATTCAGTCTGCAGAGGAAGAACAAGAGGCGCCTCCCTTCAGTCTATATACGGCTCTGTGTCCGGAGGGGTTAAAATGACTTTAGTCCCCATTAAAAGTGATGATTGTCATGAGGCTTCCAGTTGTGTCAAGTATCCAAACCCTGACACCCAATGGCAGCGATTATAGAGCACAATACAAAATATTGAAGCATTTAGAGAAAATGTTGAATTGGTTATTTGCGTCTTGATCTGACGTCTCCGTTCTTACATCTGTGATACAATCAGTGGCCTATAATTAAGTGATCTATGTGACTGTAAGGGGACTGTCACGGATGAAAACTTGACCCGAATATGATAACGTTCAGCTTCTTTATTTCAGACATATGGTTTCACATTGTTTAAGATGCGAATATGGGAATTTCTGTCAATAGCCTATGCCCTTCTCCACGCAGTCATCCCACTGTACTGTTACAGATAGTCATGTGCCTCTTTTCCGCACAGGCCATGAGTGGGGTCAGCTATTCCACTCTCGTCATTAGCTGCAGTCATGCTGTGCTGCTCCATAACCAAACTACACTCTGTCCAGTGTTGAGTTTGTATGCATGCCGAGATAATAGCTGTGGAAATTCGAAACCGATTTGGAACGTACTTGGACCAATGTTGGGGCTTTTCCAGAACAGCGTTAAATAGCATGCTACCCTCAAAGTACCAGAAAAAGTACATTCAGATGGATTCAGTGGTATGTCCACTATGTATGCAGTTTCTTGTGCGTATTTCTGAAAGTGTAAGAAGTGAGGTTATAGGCATTCCCTCATCACTGTGTTTGTGTGTGTGTGCGCGCGCGCGAGAGAGAGAGAGAGAGAGAGAGAGAGAGACAGGCAGAGAGTGAGAGAGTAAGGAGGTTTGAATTGAGCCTATCTGGAAACATCACGTTTTTAAGTCTGTAGACTGCTGAGACATTAAATCCATATTACACTGTCTCTAGTCCAGCCCACTAGCACGTCAGTGTACTGAGCTGATTGGCTGTCTTGTAAGTCTTACTGCGTTTCCTTTAAACGCGTTTGACACTTCCATTAGTCTGCTTTTCGTTTATGTCCACAACGAAAACCACAAAAACTGTAAAACAGTTGAGGTCAGTGACGCAATTTGACAAACAGGTAGCTATATTCTAGAGTGAACTGTGACGTCTCACGTTCTAAAGTTTCCGATGGTTCTGCAGTGTTTTCGTATGTGAGAAAACGGCTGTGGGGGAACACAGGATGCAACAATGTTGCTGAAGTATGGAATGCATGTTGAATCAAGGGGTGGGCGTAGAGCCTGCAGTGGATCAGGGGCGGTGTAATAACGGATTTATAGTCCATTATCTGACACAATAATCGGTAGTCTGCTTGGCAGTAATGACACAAGTGTAAAGTGTTGTAATGTAAACAATATAGGCCTATTCAATCACTCATCAGCTATACTTTCTCGGCGACAGACTTTTGATGGCCTGCTATAATTCCAAGTTCTGGATCCGGGGTGGGAAACAAGCGAAGTATAAACAGAAGAAACCAATATGATGTTAAAAAACTAAAAAAAAATATTTGGGTTCATTGCCGAGGAATCAGGCCGTGCAGAAAGAGCTCTGTGATGAAAGTAAAGCACCTATTATTTGAGCCTAAGTTGATTATGTCACATTACCATGACTTACAGGTTGCTGTTAGGTACCCCTCTTTTTAAGCACATGTCAAATGTCTTAGTTTAGCTATATTGTTTTTATTTCAAATAATTTTAAGAAGTCAGCAGGAAACTCAAAACACTTTAACAGTAGCTCATTTAATATAGGGCCTTAATTTTAAACTAAAGCAGTGGAACGTTGTGGTTTCCTTATGACACCAAGGTCATTTGACTGTTAGATTAACTATTTGATTTGTATGTTTTTTTTATCTATAGCAGACGCAATGTGTTTTTTCTTGGACCAATGTCCAAAGTGAATAGATTTGTCTTTGGCTCCCCATCTTTCATTCACTGGGCACTGGTTCCGCCAACATATCACATACCGGAACTAACACCATCGGTCCAGTAAAACTGGACTCTCTCTTGCCATCAGTGACCTCAAATAAAAAACGGTAACATAATGTAAGAAGAATGAAGCAGACAAATAGTCCTGTATGCTTTGCACCGAGACTAAAGCCATGTTGATCCAGATTTGTTTTTCTCCTCCGATGGACTACACTGGACTATAGAGTTACAATAATGTCATAGTTGTGTAATGCAACAAATCCTGATCGCCTGAATCTCTCTCTCTCTCTCTCTCTCTCTCTCTCTCTCTCACACACACACACACACACACACACACACACACAGAAAGAGAGCGAGAGCTATAAGGCAGGAAACCAAAGACCGAGCCATATACTATAAATCGCACAGTGCTGACTCTGGCATGCCACCATGATGAACGAGAACGAAATGAAAGAAATTCCCATTCGCAGCAGAGATGTTCACGCATTGCTGTAATGCTGCAATGCTGCATGCCTTTAAATCTCGAAGGCCTAAAGCGTGAAAGCATTTTTCATATGCCATAATTTATTTCTCCCTAATTTTGTCAACGCATTTGTAGAATAACATCAGGCCTGCAGGAGCGCGCAGACGATACACGTTTACACACAGCTCGATTTAAAACGTAGGCTATTCTGTTGTCTGGAACAATTA